ATACGTTTTACGTATACTATATCAATTTTATGAAAGTATAAAAGTTTAAAATGCAAATAAAATATAGAATAACGTAACAAAAACAATGATCAATTAAATAATTATTTCATTGAATTGTCCTTTACTGCACCTACCACAATATATATTTAAATGTTACTTATTAGATTCAGCTGCATCAAGCACATATAGAGTATTTGCAGTTCGTGCCACGTTCGTTTCAGCTTTTTTGCATTTTGAAGATCCTATGGCTCGCTCGTAAACATAAAAGTTGGCAACACTCCCCGGAGACAAATCAGTTTGATTTTGATTGCATCTTTTATGGCCGTTGGCACCTTATAACTTTTTCCACCTGAATCGGCCATCGCCATTCGCGGTCCGCCAGCTGTTCAGATTCGGAGGCTTCTGCCCGAGTCCGTATCTTTCGGCTCTGCCGCATGTTTTAATTCTCCCATCGCAGTTGTTTCATGCCGTTGCCGGTTGACGGTTGTTGCCTCTTGGTTTCTTGATTGTTGGTTGTTAGCTGTGGGTCGCAGAAGTCAACGTTATTGGCACGTGTTTTTGTGTGTGTTTGCAACGTGTTCCTCATTCGTATTTATTTCTTGGGATAAGCTCGGAAAACTTTTGCCTAAAACAAAACAGGGCAGAATGCTCTAGTCGGGTATGCCCGACAGGAAAATATCCTGAACTCAGCGCCAAGCTGAAGTAACAAACATTCTAGCTTCTATTCTAGCAGGCATGCCTCCCTATGGAAAGCTATGAACTAAGCAAGGGCTCATCTTTTTCACATGGGGAATCCGAATGAAGTTGGAGGCTGCGTCCCTCTAAATTATTTTGTCTGAATTTTTAGCGGATATCCAAGATATCCTCCTTATGTCGATATCAATACCAATATTGCCTGAAATTTCACTTGATCTGGAAAGATCCGACTAGACTCAAAGAAGAAATCCATTATACCCATTTTCAATGGGTTCAGGGTATGAAAATATAAAAACAAAGCTACGCAAAAAGTTGACTCGTGTTTGTGGCTTTTGTTGGTTTTATGCGCGCTTCGTGCCGCAACCATCAAAGGTGGCCCAGAGCCCAAACAAAAACGGTTCAACATTTTGTCTTAACAATTTAATGAGTTGTAAGGGGTGGCAATGGCAGCCGGGGCAGTATGGTTTCTAAGGTTTGATTAAAGCGAACAGCGTGACAAAATAGACACGAAATTATTTAACATGCAACAACAAAGTATCAGGAGCATTTGACCAAAAGATACCCCTTTGCCCAAGGCAAAGTATTATCAACAATTTCGTACTCCTACACACTGACAGGTATTAGCCGACGCATCTAGCTCAAGTGCTTCTCAACATTCCCAAAGTCTCAACACTTGCATTTTTCAAACAGACGATGCTGACCACAAATATATATACACTTTTTAGTTTCGTAGAACTTCCTTTGTGGCTGTTAAATACATTTGCAAGGCTTTAGAATAAATGTTTTGTCCCCTTATAGATGCAGGGTGGAAAAGGCTATAGGGAAATGTGTCGGCTAACTTGCGACTGTCTTTTTTGACTTCTCGACACGTTTCTGTTCCGGTTGATATTCCCGCCGTCCGGAATGTGTCACACAAAATGCTTTGCAATTGAAATGTCAATAATCTTTTATGACATTGTAGCGTAACGCTTCAAAATGTAGTACTTTTGGCTCTACTTCAATTTTATGCACTGAAATTGTTTTAAATTTTTAAACTTTACTACCAATTCCGATTTACTCTTTTTATTTGAAATTTTGCTGGGTAATTATGTGCTTCCAGTGGATATTTAAATGAATTTCGATTACAAATTTTATATATTTTTTCTGCAGTGTAGCACAACAAAATATTTTCATTTGGCTCGCAAAATCTTTGACATGCAACAGCAATCAAAAGCGAAGAGCGGTAAGGGAAGAGTGCGGGTACAGGACATGGGCCTGTGGTTGTTTGGTGGCGGCAGGGGAAAGCCAGGACGCCATTTTGTGGCCTGTCTTGCGGTGTCGCCTGAAATTGGCCAGCAAACAAGGCAACAAGCACGAATAGACCAAAAAGGATATAGAAAGAGAGCGAGAGGGAGAAGAGGACACGCAAAAAACAAATGTCGGAATCCAATTCAAAATGCCATCAGACATTCTAATTTCATTCATTTCTCAATACAATCAACTGAACGTGGGGCAGGCTGGGCCAGAACAAAGTCCCAAATTCACTTCCTTATGTCACATAAATTCTGATTGTGATAAAGCGAAACAGCAACTAAAACGGAAATGCAGCAAACGATTCTTCAGTTCTCTGCGGCATAAATTGCGGCACCAAATTGAATTCTGGTCTATGATTTTGTCAACTGGACACATGACCCCCGATTGACCACTCCAATTACCTCCTTTGGCTGAGTTACGAGTAACATCTTCAGGTTGAGTATCTTACCTTAAGTAGGTACCTTACCGCAACAGTCGAATCTATTTTTCAGACAGCCCAAATATTTATTCACTAAAGGTCATTTTAAAAATTGATTTTTAAAGAATAAATAAAGTATTAAAAAAAATAATAATACATAAAGTAAAATAAATAACAAAAGGGTTCGAATTAAGCCTAATGTTTATTTTAAAACAAATTAAGTGCAATCCGAGAGGCTCCTAAAATAATGTATTACGGCTTATATTAAGTAATAATTCATGCAGTCTTGCAATATTTTGAGTAGAACAGACAATTTCCTGATTTAATTTCTTATCTAAAAGAAATAGTTACTTTGCGATAAATTATAGGTTAAATTGAATTGATGCAATTTTTGTTTAAAAATACAACCAGTGTCAGATGGTTCATGGAACTGTGAACCGATTCACGAATGAACTGTCTGGGATTGTGGACACGATAATAACACAGTAAGACAATATTACTAGATCTAATTTTAAGTTATCTTTCATTGCTTAGGATTGCACAGAGCTCTTTTTGAACCACATTTCAAAATCTTAATGGATTGTAATCTGCTCGTAACAAGTTCACAATGACTGCCCAACTCTCAAATAGCCAGCGCCCTAAAGCGCAATTCTTAACATAGTTTTCTGTTTCAAGTATTTCACTTTTCTCATCTTGTTGCATTCGCAGCTGGGCTATAAAAATGCCAACTAAAGGCTTGGTAAGAGGGCAAAGCAAATGCAGAGCCAGAAAAAGAGTCATTTGGGATATTTTCTGGAGCTGGAGGCGTTTTGAGGGCTTTCAGTGTGTCGCCCGTTGGTGTCGTGGCTCATTTTTGTGCAAATTGTATAAAATAAATATGAATTGGCTGTCACGAGGGCAACGTCAAGGTCTTTAGCGTAATGCCTCGGGGGATCAATTTGTAGTTTGGCTGCCGCTTCAAGGGATTTGCATTAGAATTTTGATGGCGAGTGGACACAAATTGAATTGCCACACAAAACGTTAATTGGCATCATAAAGCAACGGTTCAAGACAGCGTAAATTAATTAAAGTTGCATTGCCAGCAGCAGCAGCAACAAGGACAATAACAATAGCAATAACAACCTAGGTCAACAGCCATTTAAAATAGCCGATATGCGTCTAGAATGCAATCAGAAATTAATTGCGGCAATAATTGCGTTATAAATAAATCCAAGCATATATCTTGGTGTGCACACGTGTGTCTGTGTGATTTGTGAGTGCGTGCGTGCGTGCGTGCGTGTGTGTGTGTATGTGTGTGGTTGAGTGTGGTATTTAGGGGCCTCAATGAGCTGCACTACGCAATCGAACTAATAAAACGGCAGTTAAGTTAATCAGCCAGACAGCCGGTAAGTTGATTTAAAGCCGCAGCCAACGGCGCGTATGATTGATTTATCAATCTCTGCGTGGTTTGGCTGAGAACACGTGGCTGGGGGAGACTCGCATGCAGCTGCTTGAGGCATAGTTTTCTATTTGTATAATTTAATATTGATTTGCATTATTGTGACCGATCCACGATCCTAATCTCCCTCTCAGTAGACCATCTCCGAGTCGAGATTGAGCAGTCCAAGCCACTCCCAGCCAAAGTAAACTAAAATAATCAAAACAAAAGAATTGTTTACACAACTCATACACATACTTATACAATGCAGCTGTGACCCACCCAAGACCGACAGCAAGACCAGCAGCAGCGGCCACGACATGCGGCTAAGCCAGCTCCGTTTGTTGGGAGGTCGATGGATACGCTTTAGGCTGCACTTGCTGCACAGGGGCTGATACTGCTCTTCCATGAGTTTGATGAGGGTCTTGGCATTTCCGTCTAAGCCAAACATATTGAGCAATTCCTTCTCATTCTCCACGAAATTCTCCAGCGCAATGCATACTACAGTTGTGTGTGCGTGCGTCCAATCCTCTGCAGGGTCTGCCTCCTCCGAATGCTCAGCTGGGAATGACTTGACTTTGTACTTGACTGTTAAATTACAGCTCGGCTGATCTCTGGCTGCAGGCTGCATTAAAATGCTTAGCTCGGTGGTGTCGAAGGCAGCCACCTTGCCGCTAGAGGGGAACACTTGGAATAGTGCCTCATTCGCAATGTCAATTAAGTATACCATGGGCTGAGCGCCCAGATTAAGCAGGCTCAGTTGACGCTTCTGCAAATGTGGAAATGGAGCCTGAAACTTCACGTTCGTTGGTGACACAATCAGAACATCGCTGCCTGCCATTTTCTAAAAAGAAAACCAAGTTTTTTGTTTAATTTAACACATTCAAATTGAATTTTCTACTCTTATCTAATGGCCTGTCTCGATTCCATTTTTCAAAAAAAAAGTACAACAAAAGAATGCTTAAATACAGACTTCATGCTTCAATTTTCATAAGATTTATGGCAACTTACACCACAAAGAGCTTTAAGCTGAATATGTTAAACTAAATGATTGAATTCATTCATACTTTACATCTGTTGAATGATGTTTTCTTTGCAAAGATTAAAAAAGTTGGAAAATTGAGTTAACATTAAGTAACATTTATTGGTGTCAAATTTACGTTAGCTTGAAAACCCAATTAATAGAGCCTTGAGCTTTAAATCAAAGTTGGTTATTTTCAATTAAGGCTGATTAAAAACGACATTTATCAATTTAATAATTTAATAAATAAGGAAATGCTCAGTCAGTTTTAAAGTTTAAAAGTTAAAGCAACTAAAGATTAAGCTTAATACATCCGAAAACCATAATTTGTATAATAACATTCATTACTCTCTTGATAATTACGTAATTTACTCTTTTTAGAACTTTATTAAAGCAGCTTTAAATAGGTAAATAAAGTAATTTAAACCAATGTAGCTTTAAGAAATAGTGCAATATGCCTTTCAATAAATATTAAAGCTAGCTGACATTGGAAAATGTCTTATGATATCAATGAATAGATAAATAGAGTTCATTGGCAATGTTAGAAGTAAGATTAATTGTGCTTAATATTCGCTTAGCGAATCGCAATAAGTAGATTGAGAAATGGTCGATATTATTGCTGGAGTCATTATGTAGATGCCGTGATGTGCTTTGTACTCATATTTGTCACATCGGCAACATTATTAGCAACAAATGCCTTATAAACGCCTTGGGGTCCTTCAAACTACCGCAATTTGGCCAGCTTGGCCAATTTGAGGCTACCCTCGTCTTATTTTTTGTTCTTCCTACCAAATGGCCAGCTTTGAGTGTGTCCTGTAAGTCCGTCCGCCGTCCGTTTGTCCGCTGTCAACAACATTTGTACAACGTATTTTTTCATCTTTCTTTCTGCAGATTTATGAAAACGTAGAAATCGTGAAGGACGGAGACAAAGCGAAAGCATTGTTATGCCAGTAGCCAGCCAGGACACTCGTTGACAGCAGGACGAGCGGCAACTTTGAACAAAATGCTGCGTAGTTGAACGCAGCTGCTTCAAAAATATAATAAATAAATAAACATAATTTATAAGTAGCAGATTTTTTACGTCTGTGTTGGCATAAATGCTTCAACACACAAACACACACACACACACACAGTTAGAAACACACGCACACACAATACTGGCATTTTTTTCTCGTCTTTCACTTTTGTCTGTCTGAATAGCTGAAGATGAATGCGATGCCATCTTTGAGGGTATTTACCACAGCGAAACTCTGAGACAAAGAAACGAGAACAATGAATTCTTGTGGATAACTCAATGAGACGTATGCGTGACGTAGCGAGTTTACGTTACGTTAAACAGACCTCGCTAAATGAGAAGCTAAGCAATTGTCTGTCTAATTTAAGCTGGGGGTGCAACAAGTGTCCTCTGCACTTTTTGGGCTCTGCTTTAATAAGACCAAGCCAAAAGCTTGGTAAAGCAAAATATGTGATAAACGGTTTGACGACATTCTTTATAACTAGTCTTGACTGGTCGACTATCCTCATTAGATCTGTTAAACAGGTAAAATCAAATATAATTAACCTCTCCTCATTTAAAATCTCAGAATAACAACTTCCAAGACAAGAATATCTTTCATGTTTGACAGTAATTAAAAAGTGGAATTCACTGAAGTACTCTATCGATCTGCATAAAATCGACTTTGGAGCTTCTATTAAAAAGCTTTTGCTTATGACTGCTGGCCCATATCATATTTGCCAGTAGTTTAGCCTTCATGTTGTTCTTTGAGTTGTCAAAAACATGTACACTTGAGGCACACCCACCCTTGAGACACGCCTACTTCTTTTTAGCCCACATAAAAGCAGTCAAAAGAGAAAACAAAGACATTTCTAGTCGACAGGCTAACCGGAAGTCAAGAACACAAACGAACTAAAAGCCGCACTCTCAGCAACAGCGTTCCTTATCATATACATATATATACATAATGTACATATGTATATACTCCCTGTATATATATATATATATATATATATGTATATATCAACACATTCCGGGAGGCACACCCACACGCTAACGCTGAAGGGGGGTGCCACATTCAAATGGTTCCATATTTCTTGACAATTTAGGACACCATTAGCGAGAAATTATTACATTGCGACGTCAGCGGAGCTGGGCGGAGGGTAGGCAGCCGCCGGTCCAGGCCAAGCACTGGAGTACGCATGGAAGCAGAAGGCAAACTGTACTGCGGCGGGTGAAGAGTGGAGGGTAGAGGCCGTTTGCCGATTTTGGCGGGAAAACGACAACACAGTGACACCCACACGCCTGCGATGCCTCTAAAATGTAATGGGGCACAAAAAAATAGGAGAAGTGCGCTAGTCAAGGATGCCCGACTAAAAGATACCCTTTCATTTGGGACCCATTCGTTTTCCCTCTACATATACTGTGTGCGGGATATACAATACTTACTAAAAATCGATATATATCGATTTATGAGAAATGTGAGAAGTGATCTGTCTATTTAACGTCTATACGGAAAAGCACAAAATCAACAGGGCAGGAAAACTGTTTAAATAACAAGATATTCTCATTCTTACACTCATACCTACACCAGTTCAATATGCCCATATTTGTCGATATTTTTAGTAAATACAGGGAATAGGAAAGAACATTTTTCTGGGTACCGAAAATTGAATACCCTTATAAAAATATCGATGCAGCCTTGTGGTATTTGTTTATGCAGCCCAATTTTGCAACGACTATAATTTTTTTTTATGTTTCATGGAATTCGTATTTAATAAACGGAGTATAATGAGTCTCAGCTAAAAGATATAGTAAACTAATCGGGCCATTGCAGATATTTACTTTCTTCTGCAATGAGATGAATCTTTGCAATTTTATTAATCTAAGAAGTTCAAAGATATAGAAAACTGTGTATTTTTTGTTTAATGATCATTTTTATGGGAAAACTATAACGGAGTATTACTTAGTACGGTTTCTATAAATATAATTCAATTAATTTATATTGGTAAGTGTATTGAGATTTCGGGGTGCCAAAGGCAGCCGCTTCTATGTGTGTTTTTTCTATCGCTCTGTTTTTGGGGGAGCGCGGGCAACTTATGTGGGTGCTTAAGTGAACCATTAGCGCCGCGCGTCATTAAGTTGTTTCCGCTTCGCGCATTTCTTCTACTGTTTTCTCCGTGCAGGATGGCAGGCGTGGGCGTGGGAGTAGGCCCAGCTCTGCTGACAGACTGCAACAGCTTCCCCCATGGGGAAGCTGGGAAACTGCGGCTGTGGCATTGAGGCACGTACTCGCGTTCGTATCGAGGCTTGTAGGCCACATCATTAATGGTTATAGACCGGGCCGGAGTAGGTACGTAGACAAGGCTTTGGCTTGCCGACTTTGCCTATTTTTATCTTTCTTTTTTGTTGCCTACCCATTGCGGTTCATTGACCAGCCACTGAGCAGGCATCCGTCTTGATTTATATGCTCCAGAGTTTGTCTGTTCGTTTAGTGCCCTCTAGTAATCATTTTAAGTAGGCTCAACATGTTTTAGCTGCCCTTCCTTTTCGACGCAATTAAATGGGGCTCGCAAATTGACGGGGCAAGTGCGGGGCCAAACGCCAGCTGTGTCAAACGCAAAATTCAATTAAAAGCAAATCAGTGCAAAAATCACATGAACCGACCGTCATCGTGAACTGAACAAAGCCCAGCGCCAGCATCAGCCGCATGTACCCATTTTCCGCAGCAGGCAAATAGCCGGACCTGGCTATCATCGTTCGGTTGTTCGCTTCTCTCCATTGCACCTTTGGCCGGGCCAAGCGGCACTTAAACGCCAACTAACCAAGGCCCACACACACATTGCCAGAGGGCGTCACAATCAGCTATGCAACGGTGCAACGCGTCGTATGCGTGTTTTGCTGTTTGTTGATGGCAAATAAAACCAATTGGGGGCGTGGCGGATCTGTAGCAGCGCAGGCCATTACCAGTTTAAGTGGATTTGATGAGCGTTTATGTGCGCTCTGTGCTGCATTGGTTCCCACTGCAGCGCGCACGGCACGTTCTAATTATGACAACCTGACGGCCAGCCGAGCCCTGGTTCAGGTTCATTTAAATGCTTTACGGCTGTTGGCTCTAAATACAAGTTAGAAATTTCCATAATTAAATCTAATTTATAAACAAATTGCCGCGTTCAGCTAAATGGAAATTTAATGCAATCTATCAATTGACTATGCATAAATAAATAAAGGCAGTTCTTTTTATAGAATCGATTACTTAGCCCTGTGTCTGTTCCTCTGGAAGATACCTCTCGGAGATATGACAACTCTATTCTTGTAGATCATATGCTTTATTTATTCGATAAGTTTTGCCTTGGACACTAAGTTTATAAGCACAACAGCCAAACTTGGCTGGTTATCGAATGGCATATACAAATTCTGAAAATTTCACGTTTGGGATGCCCTTCAGCAATTCATTCGAAAATAGAAAATATCTGCCTGGAAGAGGAAGCAGAGCTGCAGCGTAAAGTGCAACGGAGGCTGGGCGATGGGATCAATATACCTCCCAGTCGCTCCCTTCCGATTAGATCTCTCTTGCTTCTTTAATCCATTATTTCCTTATCGAAGCTTCTACTTGCCTTGTTTGGTTTAGATCGCTGATGTGGATGTTGCTGCTGCTGCAGCAGCATTTGCCACAGTTCAACACCAACAAATTGGCTTATCACACATGCCCCGAGGCGGGGAGAGATGGGACGGCCACTGCATTTGCATGTTTATTGTGTGGTGGCTTTATGGCTGCCATAGCAATAATTAAGGCTTATTTACAAGCTCACAATCCACGGCGCACAGGCAATTACAACAACAACAACAACAACAATATCGACAACAATTAGAGCGCTTACAGCAACAGCAATCGGAACAAGCAAGGACAACAACAGCAGCTCACCTGTCCGGCAACATATTGGCAAACAGTGCAAGCGACGCAAATTTTCCACTACAGCTAACGAAGGATGCGACGTGTGTGCGTGTGTCTGTGCCTGTGTGTGGGCATTTGACACCTCATATTGGTAATTATTTGCATCTGGGTGGAACGCACAATATACGATTGATACACTGAGAGGTGCGGGACGCACATCGATAGAGAACAAGTAAGGGTACGCTAGTCGGGAGTTCCCGGCTAGAAAGTACTTTGTACCCAGCGAATAGATGCAGTCAAAACCATTTGAACATATGTACAAAAATACACACATACACAAGCTGGCCTCAAACTATGCACAGTTTGGCAGCAGCATTGTTTATTCTTCCCACAGTCTCATATTATTCATTGATAGCATCGGTGCCTATAGTCCGATCCTTACAAAATGTTCGTAGGTCACAAACATGGCACCCAGCTGTGTGAATAACAAAGCATTAGTCTCTACCTTTAAAAATTATTTTTTCCGTTTTCATATATCTTATCATTTTATTTTGATTTTAGCGAGAACACGTGGATGTATCTAAAAAGTGAAATGTTTTGTACCTGTATAAATTAAACTATTACCAACGTATCAAGTTTGGTATATTTAGCTCATAAAACATCCGATTTATGATTAAATTATCATGTTCAAAATTTATATTTATCGATATAATTAAAATGGGATGAGATATCTCAAAAAGATGAGCTTGATCATACAGACGGCCGGAAAAACCGACGGGCTTACAAGCATGGCTAGATGGATTCAGTTCATCTTCTCCTATACTTTCATCCGTCTGTTACATAAATATATAAGAAATTATAATACCCCTTTTAGCCATTCTCAATCCGAGGTATAAAAAGGGTTATACAGAGAGAGAGAGAGAGAAGCGTATTCAGGTGTTGGTCAACCCTTCAAATGCTTTGATTAGCTGCACTCTCAACTCTTGGAAGGGAATGGAAGTCGTGGTATTCGCAAAGGACTGACCAAGTGCCGAGTGAACTGCATTCTAATGCATTCCTAAAATCAACCGGGCTGAAGAGAAGAGGAAGCTGAACTGAAATGCGTTGCCTTTTAGCTGAAAATGAAATGAAACGCTCGCCATGGACTGCGGATTGAGGATTGTGGATTGGACTAGAGCAATTTGGTTTATATCTTTTATGGGCCAACACAAACAATTCGCACGTAAAAGCAATAAAGTGTGCACATGATTTGGCCCTTTTGTGAAGGTAAATGCAGAGCAGCGGCATAATAAAATAGAGCCACTTGGCGGCAACAGCTACAACTGAGGCCAGGCCACGTGCCCGGAGCCAGGCATAGCCAAGACGATAACGAGCAGTGGCGGGGGGAGCAGGATGCGGATGAGTGCGATATCATTTCAAATTGTTTTCAATCAAATGTGACTTGCATCTGTAATTTGTATGCAAACGAGTTGGCGACGATGTCGTCCTCGTCGTTGGCGCATTGACTGATTTGTGATTGACAGGCTCCGAATGGAATCCGTGTGTAAATGTCGTGGGGAAAACGCTGATGCAAGTACAAAATAGGGAGCCATGCCTAAAATCTCAATGTGTTGGGATACTTGCAATACTGATTTGACATTGATCAGGTCTTCAGTTTGTAATCGAACAGAACGTATAGTAGAAATTGATTTCAGTGTGGCCAAGTAGGCTCCTTGTTTCACTGTACCGCAATCGTCACACTGAATTCATTTTAAAACTTATATTTGTCATACATATTTAAAAAAAAAAGGTGCATTGGTCCATCGGATGAAAATAAAACTTAAGTTTCCAGCTCATTTTACTTCCGTGGTGGACCTACAATATCAGGGACCTACATTTTGAAATAGGAAGCGTGGATTCCAAAGAACCTTAAAAATGTGTTTCAATGGGACGGACAACTATCCAATAAGTTATATAATCACAGTGAAACTCTCCTGACCGACAATCCTATTATGCGGTCAGACCTTTTAAGCAGACATTTTCTGTGAAACGATTAAAAATCTGGACAAACCCAGTGCTCCTCTATTAGCCGGACACCCCTCTTTTAGTCGCTTTCCGTCCAAGAAAGCTGTCAATGGAGTACTGCAGCCAATGAATTATTTGGTTACGCTTGGAACAAATATCTCACACTTTATTTTTGTGTTCAAGATTTGCCTCTGATCAAATAATATCTATGTGAGTTTTAATATTGCCAGCTCTATTTGGGTCGTCTGATCTTTTTATGGGCTTATATTCCTTAGCAAGGTTCATGTAAATAAACATAAATAAAATAATTTGTAATGAAGGTATAAGCGTAGTTACCGAACTGAAATCACATCTCTTATGCAACACTTTTGGAAGTGACGCAAAAAATAGTTAATATTAGATTGATCCTCGCATCCCCCTCGGCAGTTGCAGCAGAGCATATTGCACCAGCCGGTGCCGCAACAGCGCTTTTTTCCACACGGCTGGTAAGCACATACGTCGTCTTTAGTGAATGCACCCGGAATATTTTCGCATGCGAAATCTGTTTTAGGCGTAAAAGTCAACTCCTTTAACGGGCAGCAACCCTTCAAAAACAAATTTGCTTCTCCCGCTTGCACAATAAGAAAGAGCAGCTCCAGTGATAATACCAACATCCAAACGTTGGCCATCACAGCTTATTGGAAAAATTACTTTTGGAGCGATAACTGCGATTAGTAAGAGACGCAAGTTCTTTTTGCGCCAATCGGCATTTATATTGAAGCAGCGCACTGTGACGGGTAAATAATTTAATTATTTCTTTTTAACATAGCGAGAAATGCGCAATATTATCATAGTGGATACCCTGAAGATACCCTGTATGCAGCGCCGCGCTGAGAAGACATGCATTCGAAGTTCCTTTCATTGAAAAAAAAAAAGAATATCCTAGATAGCGACATCTATGAGTCACGACCGGCGGTGCATGTTAGGAAAAATTAGAAATGGAGAGATTGCTTTTCATATTATGTTAGTTAATTGGAAATGGCGAATGTTCCACTATCCCACGTTGGGATAGGCCAAAAATTAGCACCAGCCAGGGGAAACTTGTGCCGACTGGATTGCTGCCGAAATACCCATTAACCACTGAATTCGCCTAAAATGATTGCAATTCCAAAATTAGGTGTCCCCTCTTGAGATCAGGTAATGCGCTCTCAACATTAAAGTGAATTCGCCGCCTATCGTGGAGCTCATGGGAGAGACTATCGTCGCCGCATTGTCGCCGAATCAGTATTACTCCGCGCCTGAGCAGCAAACGTCGGCGGTGAAGCTGCGTAGTTTTTCGACTTTTTTGTTGTTTGTTTTAATTTTATTGACTGACTCACAAAAATAATAATAAATATAATAATAATAATTCAATCGGTTAATTCTCTTTCATTTTTTTTCCTTCTCATGTTATATCCTTTCTCTCTTTTTCTCCGTTGCTATGACCATTTTGGTCAAGAGAGCAAAAAGAAAGAGAGTAACTAGAGCGAGAAAAAAAGCTCTGCCACATATGAGCTGTGTTTTTTTTTTATTTTTCTTCTTGTGCCCTTTTGTGCAAATTTGTTTTGTTACAGCAATTCGTCACCGTACATCAGCGAAAGCGCTTTTGGAGATGAATGGTATGTACGTAAGTGCTATAATTATTTATCATAAATTAAAACTCTCTTTAATTAAGAAAACGTGACGTGAAATTAAAAAAAAAAGTAAAAATAATGATCAACCTTTTTCAAGATTAACACAATAATGAAATAAAAAGAGAACAATTATTTTTAATTTTCGAATTTCGAAAAAAAAGTAAAAGAATAGACTTCTAAAAGTAACGTCACCTTTCTTTTGACTACATTTGCCATTTTAATAAATTTTGTAAAGCTCTACACCGTTTTAATTTTACACTATTTACTTATTATAAGAATATAATTAGTGGTTCCCAGCATGAAGCCATTATTATATTTTTTAAGCATGCATTTTTAATCCCTTTATATTTAGCTCTAACTTTTAATCAACCGTACACCCGGCATCGATCGTTTATTTATTGATTGGTTCCAGTGTTATCTGTTAATACATTTAAATCTATAGCATCGATTAAGAGGAGCAATAAAGAATGAAAATATCGATGGTGGAGATGATCGATATTGACAGCTATAGTACAGAGTATCATCTACTGACGCATTTATAAATAAATAGTCGCGGTTAATATAGCGTTAATATAGCTAGTTAGTTTAAGCGTGCCCGTCACACAGCTAAGCTCCAATACAAATATTAACTGTGGCAAGCAGAACTTAGTTTTATTTTGAATTTTACGCAATAACTCTTTTTGAGGGAAGAGCTCTTTTAATTTCCTATGCTGTGTTATACGTGGCCATTGGTAATATTATGCCAGCTGCTGTTTCTAGCAGTGTCGTCCGGGAATATGGCGGGCTGCTGCCCTAGAATAGAGCTGAAATATATCCCAGGGCCTGGTCAACCGTGCCACTCTTATCCGAATTGCATTCCATATGGCGATATATGTATTCACTTACCGTGTGGCAAACATAACCGCTGTTGCTCAAGAGGCTCGTGCGATAGGCATTGCTGCAAATGCCAGGATAGATGCATATATAAACATTTTACTTAATGAGTATGACTTGCTTTGCTTTAATACCAATAATATTTTCGGAATGAAATTATGGTATAATGTTCGATACTTAATTGATGTACATTTATTTTAAGTAAATTAATAATAATTGCAAACGGATCTATAAACAATATATATGAAAGATTTTGTTCTGACTGACTGACTGCACCAAATTCCTTTGGGTCGAAAGTTTACACAAAAGCGGGATATAAGAAAATTTGTTCTGCAAAGCACGAGCACGAAGTCGCCGGTTCTCAATCAGCAGGAATTTGTCAAGTCAATATAAGCTTTAAAATTATTATTTATGTTCATTTGGTAGATTAAAATAGTTCTGATGATTATAAAAGTATTATATATAAATTTTTGCTCTTGCCTCAACGTGGACTGCCAATCTCCCTTTGCCATCGTACTCCTGCAAGCTGTTTTTTCTTAATCCTTCGTCGTTAACTTACCGTAGGATAATACTCCATGTTATCTTTCTTCATAGATTGACTGTTGCCGACTTAAATTCCCGTTCTTGGACCTACCAGAAAGTATCTGGCCTCATTTCAGCACGTGTTCTCCGCTGAACAATCTATTCCCCTAACAAAGTCTTTGATTCAAAGATACACTCGGGAACTTACTGACCAATAAGTATTATAAGTAGGGGTACAACTTGCCGATCTCGCAAAAAACCTCTCAATCAATGATTTTTCCCTTATTCTTGTTTAATATTCTCTTCCATCTTTTCACTTAGGTTTCTAGGTTTCTTACTTATTTACTCTTTTTATACCCTAAACCCATTGAAAAATGGGAAAGTGGGTGAAATAACTTTGTGGAAATGTAAGTAACAGCATTTACTTAGTCAAGTAAAGCCCTGCTTACATATTGGTTATATAACCAGTTTACAATTTTTATTAATTCCCTGTAAGATGTACATTGAATTGATATCGGATATTTTCTCATAAAAGAGTTGTTTACTAAAAAAATACAATTGCCACAGTTTATATTTATATTGGAACTGCGCTGTGTGACGGGCACGCTTAAATTTATTTGCTGTGTTATTGTAACGAGAATCCATTGTGTCATTTGCCCATTTTGTTATGTTAAAATTATTAACAAATGCACTAAATAACATACTATGTAAGTATGCTCTCTCCCTAGTAGAAGATAACCCGAACTTGAGTTGTCAAATTAGCCTCTTCGTACTTAGTCCTCTTTGGGAAAATCAATCCATCCCGGTTGGAAAATGCCTTATATAGGTTGTATGGGCGATGTTTTAATAATCTACAAAGGACACGCGGAATAATGCATTTTCGGAAATCGTATTCATCCCCTTTTGGTTGAAAAGGGTGAGTTATGAGAGCAAAATAAAATCAAAATATTCATTTGTCTAAACAGAATACTTGTGGTAAGATATCCCATGACAGATGTATTCATAATAGGACCCTCAATGTTTTTTCGGATTAGATTTTCTGAAAATAGCATTGGAATTAAAGAATGTAAATATAGGTACGTTTGATTAACCAAAATTACTCAGCAAAGGTTTACTTAGTTGCAAATTTACATCCCTCTTTGTAATGGCAGCAGAATTCATTGCATTCGCCTTTTTCGCAGAAGCCGTTATGTTTTATATGCAAAGTCGTATCAACATTGGACCACTATATCATATAGGAAAGACTAGTGGTTATATAGAAAAATATTCGGTTTTTAAATATATTTTCAACAAACTCAATATTTTCGAGCTGCACTAGTCTCACGTATTTGCAAAAGGCCAACAAGGGTATTAAATCTTCGGCATGCCGAAGATCTGCTTACTTTCTCGGCATAGTTAAAAACGAAGCAAACGCCACAGCTATACACAGGTCGCAAAGAGGTTTCTTGGTCGCAAGGAGGTTTGTTGTTTTTAAGTTGTGAGTCAAATCTAGAACATTTTCCCAGTATCTGAGTATATTTGTAGCATTATATATTAAGGATATTATAACTATTCATCGTCTATAGTTGCTTTCTACGCCCTCCATTTGATTCTATACAAAATATAGAAACTTAATAGGACATATTTCATATAAATACTTATGGCATTGTATGTGCATGTGTGCGTGGCTGTATGTGTGTGTTTGTTCATTCAATAATGTTAATTAAATTATAATGAGTGTGTTAATTACTTAATGAAGCGAATTACTGAAACTTTTGCTGTTGTGCATGTGTCAGTTGCACCCTCAGTCGATTGTGCATTGACAGACTCAAAGGAATTCTCACGCAGTACCGCGCCCGCCGCCCGCCGCCTGCCGCTGCCACCCGCAGTCAAAGTTGATAAGCGGGTAACGAATTTCCGGTTTGACTGCACTTTGTGTTTTTAAACTATCTAGGGGAACACTGGCCGGTAAATTATCAGCTAAGTGCAAAAGTTGGAAGCCTGTTTTCCTGGCATAGAACACGACCTACTTCTGGGTTATATCTTTTATATAAGAGTTTATCCCTTAGGTGCAGACTAAGGCAGGACTGTAGAAAAATCCACCGGCAATTGTGATTAGTTGATAGGAAACGGCTGTAGAAACCTTTTTTATACCATTCGATCAATGATCAATGTAAGGCAGATTAATGAATGAATGTAAGGCAGACTCTATAAAGTAAATATATTCTTCGTTAGAATCAAAGGTCATAGTACCCTTGCAGTATGTTTGTTTCCGATTATTGATAATTAAAACGTGTCTTTGAATTAAAGACTATGAATTCTTTCACAGATATAGATTATAGCCTAGATATATACACAAGCTAATGGAATTTCCCAAATCGCAGAAACACGTATCATTAAATTCATATGTAAAGCTTCAAAAATGAGTTTGAAGCAAATAGGATAAAAATTGAGACTTAGCTCAAAAAATCTTTGAATCGCATTATCCACCGAGGAAGCTTGGAAGTTCGAAAAGTGTGAAACACGTCTCCAATTTTTTTTCGTATAGATCTTTGACAATAAATTTGATCACGAAACATCACCCACCAAGTCTTTGAACCCCATTTCCACCAAGGAAACATTCGATATTTTGGTAAGAGTGAAACACCCCTCAAATTTAATTTGAAGAAACATCTTTTAAAATGAGTTTGATGCCGATCGAAAACAAAAAGTATCCGATTTTTCCACAATTGGTGG